AACTAGACTTTGGGAAGAAGGCAGCAAAAACTCTAGGACCTGGGTCAGAGCTCTATCACACCTTCTTCCCAAAGCCCAGAACCTCAGTTACCCGGGGGGGGGGGATGTGTGTCTGTGTTATTGGTTTTACTGCTGCAATTGAAATGTTTTTAAATGACTTTAATTTGTGGGATTTTAAAATTTTTGGTTTGTTTTAAATAAAAGAAAGATGTGCCTGGAAATAGAGGAGCAGTGGGACGGAGTAGGGGGAGCAATCACAGTGGTTCAGGCTTGAGGAAGGAATGGTGTGGGAAGGTGGGGCTGGCTGGGTAAGGGGCACACAGCACAGACAGTTGGTCATTGTGGCTGTGTGCCAATCCCTCCTCCAACCTGGGGAACTGTAGAAGAAGAAGAGTTTGGATTTGATATCCCGCTTTATCACTACCCTAAGGAGTCTCAAAGTGGCTAACATTCTCCTTTTCCTTCCTCCCCCACAACAAACACTCTGTGAGGTGAGTGGAGCTGAGAGACTTCAAAGAAGTGTGACTAGCCCAAGGTCACCCAGCAGCTGCATGTGGAGGAGCGGAGACGCGAACCCGGTTCACCAGATTACGAGTCCACCGCTCTTAACCATTACACCACACTGGCTCCCTGTCAGCCAACCCTCGTGTCTGTGACTGCTGTTGTCAAATGCTAGGTCGTTTCAGAATAAGACCTCCCTCAACTACAATCTGATTGTGGATGAGAAGGCTGATCTGGTCTGTATCACTGAGACCTGGGTGAATGAGAAGGGTAGAGTTGGGTCTCACCCAACTGTGGCTACCCTGGGTATTTGGTGCAATATTAAGACAGACCTGAGGGTCAGAGAGGGGAAATTGATGTGGTTTATAGAAATCACCCCCTCTGTTTCTAGGCTCTCTGTCCAGGGGTGGGGAATAGGATAGACTGGGGGTTCTGCTGGTTTACCGCCTGAGCTAACAGAGCTTTTCTTGGAGGTAGTGTTGAGGACTACAAGACTGCTGGTTTTGTAGGGATTTAACAATCTCTGGACTATCTGAATGGCTCAAGCTATTGACAGGATAGTCCCTAAGCACCCTCTCCCACTTCATGGAGTCCGACTGACTCCCTGTTATACTTCAGAGCCTAGGGTTAGGAAACAAGTTGGGAAACTGCTTGAACTCAAGTGGAGGAAAGATTAAATCAAATGCAATCATCATCGAGCCTACCTAGTGGCAGTGAAAGCAGCAAAAGAGGAATACTTTGCTGCCTCCATTGCATCCTCACTATGCCATCTGGCAGAACTTCTCCAGTAGTGTGGGACCACTTACAATCTGGCCTGAAGGAGGAGGTGGAACAGACAGTAGCTCGCTGTGACTTATTTGCAAAGCATTTTGATGACAAAATTACTTCCATACACCAGGATCTTGACTCCACTGTTATTACAGATGAATCTCAAAGAGTGTCCAGAGCACTGTCTAGACCTGTTGTGCTGGTTTCAGCTAGTAAGGATTAAGGAGGTGGACAGGGTCTGCTTGGATTAATGAGGGCAACCACTTGCTCTCTGACCCCTTGCCCCTCTTAGGTAATAAAAAACTAGCAGGGAGGGGACAGCTGGCTGGGCCAGAAAGGTAATTAATGCCTCCTTGCAAGTGGGGGGTGATCTCTGCTTGCTTGACAGAGGCAATTGTATTTAATAGAAAATAAAGATAATGCATTGACTAAGATGTATAAATGTCTTTTGGAATAGTAATAAAAGACGAGCAGGTGAAATCGGCGATGATACACTGGGCAAAAGACTGGCAGCGTGGGAAAGGTTTTGAATTTCACAGCATGTTATACACTGAAATAAAATTATATGAAAATGATGTACAGATGGTATTTAACACCTAGTAAATTAGTGAAAATGTACAAGTCAGATATATGCTGGAAATGTAAAGAGAAAAGGGGTACATTTTATCATTTTATCCTGACGGAGCATCTCCACCCCCATCGTTCAGCCCGGACACTGAGGTCCAGCGCCGAGGGCCTTCTGGCGGTTCCCTCATTGCGAGAAGTAAGGTTACAGGGAACCAGGCAGAGGGCCTTCTCGGCAGTGGCGCCTGCCCTGTGGAACGCCCTCCCAGCAGATGTCAAGGCAATAAACAACTATTTTACTTTTAAAAGACAACTGAAGGCAGCCCTCTTTAGGGACGTTTTTAATGTCTAATGCTGTATTGTTTTTAATATTCAGTTGGAAGCCGCCCAGAGTGGCTGGGGAAACCCAGCCAGATGGGCGGGGTATAAATAATAAATTTATTATTATTATTATTATTATTATTATTATTATTATTATTATTATATATGGTGGTCTTGTAAGATAGTAAAAAACATCTGGGAAATTATTTACAATGAACTGGAGAGAAAAAAGTTGAAGGTAACTTTTACTAAAAACAAAACAAAACCAGAGGCTTTTCCTTTAGGGATAATAGGACAGGATACACTGAAAGACCAGAAAAAAACTGTTGATGTATACAACCATGGCTGCCAGGATGCTTTTTGTGCAGGGATGGGAAGAAGACACTGTCCCAACCAAGGAAGAATGGAAAGCAAAGTTGATGGACTATGCCAGTGGTGGCAAACCTATGACACGTGTGCCACAGTGGGCATGCAGAGCCCTCGGCCCATCCGCACTGCTGCTTGCTGGAGTGGAGGTAGCAGTGGTGGCGGCCGCGGAAGAGCCGCCTGCTCCACCCCCTCGGCTGTTTTCCGCTGGTGCGGCCACTCCACCACCAGCCAAGCGCTCCTCAGGCGGCTCCTCAAGTAGACTGAGTATGGCTAGCACCCGCCCGTGGCGGCCCCAGCCACAGCTGCCGAGCCAAATTGGGAAGCACCACTGACCGCTGTATGTCATCTTTACTGTGAGGTGACAAGCCAGAGGGCAGGGCCGTGCCATGCCCGCGAACCTGCCTGGTACACAACCCGCCCTTAGGGACGCTGCAGACACGCAGCTCTCACCCAGGTTCTGGGGCCCCACCAGAGCGCCACCTGGAGCCTTGCCTGAACCATGGCTTGCCGCAGCAGCGAGGAAGCAGTGGGAAGCAGGACAACTCAAAAGCCCAGTTGGCCTGTGTGGCATAACTTTGGGCAGCATGCTCAGAGCAGGATCCCTGGCTGGGGCAGGCCTTCAGCTTCACTGGCGGGGACCACAGCAAACGGTGGCAGCAGGCAGGAGCAGCAGCTGCTCCTGCAGCCGCCCTTGCGAGGATGCCCACCCGCGGCAGCCTCCTGCAACGGGACAAAGGAGATGCTGCAAGGCGGCCGCCTCAGATCAAGAGAAGGCGCAGGTGTGGCCTCACTCATGTGCCAAAACTTAGCCTGGCGGCAAAACAGCAAAAAAGGCGCTTAGAGAAAAGAGCATTCTGGTGGCGCACCCTGCTAGGCCTTTCTTGTTTCTAAAGGTGCAAGGCCAGCTTTGTCTTGCAACTGGAAGCCTCCACTTCACCCCCTAGCAAGGCTGCTCTCTTGTCCTCCTTTCTCTTCACTGGGCAATTCCCCATCTGCACTTAACAGGGCTGGTTAAGAATAATAAAGAACTAGCAAGTCATGTATGGTGAGCTATTTATGAGAAGTCTCCCCCCAAAAATCTCCTCCAAAACAACTCCAGGGAACCCCCACCCCCAAAAAAGCTCAACAGCTCTGGGCACTCTGTGATAAATAAGTGGGTTTTGGGTTGCAGTTTGGGCACTTGGTCTCTAAAGAAGAATAAGAAATCAAGAAGCAAAGACTTTTAATCAGGAATGGGGGAGATATTAGGATTATTTAAATTACTGTAAACAATTAAATATATTAGCAGGATTAATTTAAAGTCAAGCAATTCAGAGGTGATTTTGGAAGAAATGCAGAGAATAATTAAATAAAAGGAGTTAAGTGGGAGATGCAGTTTTGGAAACTATTTTACAGGAAAAGGGAAGAGGATTGATAATTTGCTGCATATTTTTATTTTGTTTGTTTATATTTCCAATGTAATGTACTGCAGTGTGTGGAGTCTTAAATTGCAATCCATCTAAAGGGGTTTAGTGTTATTTATTTTTAAAAGGAACCAACTGGTGCATGGTTTAAACAGCAACGTAATCCACTGATTCCACTCTGACCTTGATATTAAACCTTGGACATACATGGTTTGTGACTGAACTAAGATTAAGTGAAGGATGGCAAGATTTGTTTCACAGATAGTTAATTGTGAGATTTTCTAGTATCTTAAATATTTTCAAGGATAACAGCTTGTGACAATAGGGCACAGAGAGAAATACCATAGTTGAAAAAGTTTCTTATATTATTTCAAGCATCTCAAGAGTTCCTCTTTCAAGCAACTTTTTAGTTGCAGCAGTACAACACTGAATTCCACAACCAAGTCATTGTCTATTTCAGAATTTAGTATCTAGCTACGAGTTTGCCATCATTATCCCCTGAGATCACCAAATTTTATATTTTAACTAGCTGGAGCTTTGTAATTTGCACCATTTTCAAAATAGGAATGTCATGTGCATCTTTCCACAAGTCACACTGCATTCAGCATGCAGAAGATGAAGCACAGAAAATAATTTAAGCTGTTTACTCAAGTAACCTATTATCATTAGGACTCTTGCTGTTGTAATCAACCACCCAGTCATAATATATCTACAATGTCACCAAAAGTATGAACTCCAAGCCATGAAAACACTAACGGCCTTAAGCAAGTTCCCATGTCTCAACTTCTCAATTTGCTATAGGGATATTAGTACTGGCGTACTTACAATGATGTTGAAAGGATTATCAAGATAATGCATTTGAAGCTCTTTGAATACTTGATACTGTAGGCACAGTTACGAATTCTAGAGTCCACTCCACCAAGACACACACAGTTCCCATACAACTAAAAGCCTCAAGGTTTATTTAATCAGCATAAAATAATCATATGTACAAACAATGAAGAACATATAAATAGCATAAACAAGCTCTTCTAACAAACTAGGAGTTTTAAAATTATCTTTAAATTATCTTACCTTCTTTTTGTCTCTCATGGACCCTTTGCCTCGGACCATTATCTTACATCCTGTTTCAGCCTCAAGCTGTTTAGCTGTTAGCCCTCTGGGCCCAAGGATTCTTCCAACGAAGTTGAACTGAAATTTAAAGAGGGGGGAAATCACTATTTTCTTCAAAATATAGCAATAAACATTCAGATAACAATCAGCAAGACTGTAGTTTAAGTACAAACAGAATCTTGTCCTAATTACTGCTACTCAATTTCCCAAAGAACAGAATATCTCTCCACCCTATATTTCACTGGTCTGTTGTCATGCTGTAGTTTGCATGACCGACCACAGGTGGCACTAAGTCCTGAAAACTTTAGTGTGACAATTAGGAAGAGGATGCAGCAAGATGAGGCAGGGACTAAAGGAGAAGACTAAGAGGAGGAGGCAGAAGTAGAGCAACCAAATTTAACCTCCTGGTGGGTGAAGATGGGTCCACAGACCAGATATTCTCCAACCCGGAGAGAGTGGATCCTCTGACCTCTGGGGCGTGTAACTATTCCTGCCCGCAATAGTTGTCTTCCCAATTCTAGAGCTGGAGAGGGGAAGTGGGCATCATCCCCACAGTTGCACTGGGCTTTCCAAGCAGATTTGGAGATTGCTCCTGCAACCACGCTGCACTGCTAAGACACTTGGAACACCATTACCAAGCACTATGCTTGCTGGGTCAATCTACTCTCCTCAAATTCTTAATCAGAGACAAGACATACTATTTTGGGAAGTAGTTCTAGAAAAGACCGATTTGATTGCCTATTAAGGCCAGCCAAACATTATGGAGCCCCCATATTTTACCTAATGCAAGCATCATTGATCACTCTTGAATGTGCAATTACTTTTGCTGCAATTCTTTTTGCATCACTGTATGCAGAGCTTTGGGAAACAAATTACAGGATTTTAAAACAAGCTGAGCCACCTGCTAGCTATCTTTTCCTGCTTAATACACAAATCTGAGCTATATGTTAATTTTATATTTTATTCTGTCAGCTCTTAAATGTCAGTCAAATGAGAACAATACTACTTTTACATCCTTCACACATCTTAACCATGAGAAAAACTAAAAATCGATAGTCACTTCTCACTATGCTCCATGAATAAAGACTAGCAACTACAAAAACACAAATGTAAGAACAGCGTCAGTGATATACTATGAAGTTAGCAGATGTTCATTTGTTAGAGAATATTATATAGCTACTTCCAACAAATAACAAATACATTCTGAATTGTAAAGTTAAATAGGTCTAATAAACATTTCTAAATAGTGAATAATCAGATCTGATTATATCATTTATATACAATGTGCTGTTACATGAGTTGTCACCTTCAAAAACAAACAGAGCAGAAAACTACATACTGGAAACACTAACACATTACTATTCTTAACTGTGATACTAACTCACATTAAAATTAATCTACTGTATATATCCAGTGATTTTTTTAAAAAATTGTGAACTATTTCAACATTGCATCTGTCCCACAAAGGCACTCTAAATAAAGAAATTAAAGGATGTGGGGGGAAATTGTCCACTATTAACAATAAAACAGTGGTTACATTAAACTTCATATAACCATAGAGCAAATTCTTCTGAAACACTGTCCAACTGCTACATTTAACAATAAGCATAATCCAGTCAATTCTACTTATTTCAATAGCTGAAGCTTAAACGCTTAGTACGTCAACAAATCGGACAGTGCCTAAATCAAAGTAGATAGTACTGAAGATAAAAAGTCTTTTACTATAACTGAATTGCAAAAACAAAATAGTTTTAAATAGGCATATAGTTTTATGAAAGCAGCTGATGAATATCTAAAAGCAATGATAGTGGGAAGTCTTAATTGCCTACATGTAATGTTGTTGTTTGTTTCTCTAAGCTCAATACCAAGTATTAGCATAAAACAGGTTTGGGCACAACAGAAGAAACAGTGCCCTGCCATTTACTTCCTGTAGTTATCATGATATGTTCCTCAAAATTTGCAGGAGTTAAACGACCTCACTGGCTGCATGAATATCAGTTTAACATTCCAATTATGTGTGTAGCCTGTCATTATGTCTAGCAAGTAGTAGCAGCAACAAATTCTTTTGTTTCATGCCTATATGAAGAAATAGTTTGAAATCAATCTTCACAAGGGTGCCGAAGCTTAAAGCCAAATAAAGCAGGATTGAGGCAAATTTACTTTCATGTTAGTACGAATTCATATTAAATATCAGTGACTATCCCATCCACACATTCATGTCAATGCAAATGCGTCCTATACAAATGCGTCCCACTTTTTCCTATACAGATTATCTCTGTACTAAAAAAAAAAAGTGTGCATTTGTCTGTGAAATGTAAGGAATCAATGTTTTTGGAAAGCATAACTTGGTGGCTATGATTTATCTATAGACTTCTGGACTATTCCTCCTGCAGAGGAATCTGCTAGAAAAGAAGCAGATAAGAATTCCACAATTAACATCTGAGTTGAGAGTGGGATCACACTGTCCCATTCCATTCACTGGGTGCATTTGTCCCATCTCTGAATTTATGTGTAGCTAGGTAAATGGGAGATTTTTCAGTGCTCCAGCCTCAGGGCCGTAATGCATTGTACACTCCAGGCAGCTGAACACTTGTAGGTACAATCTACAGTTCTAATATTCTACATACAAATCCAGAAACATTTCAAGGCCAACACCTCCTCTCCAACGTGAAATCAAAATAAGACCACCTAATCAAAATTGTATTCCAACAGTATCAAGCTAAAATAATTTACAAGTACTACTTTACAAACCAATTTCATTTCTAATTGGTCCTGGAAATCTGCTGAAAAGCTGTTCAAGTCCCTCCAACTCTTGAATTATCAAATCATATCTATCTTTAGAAATATCACTGACAATCAATTCCAAAAACTGGATTACTGTTTATCACTGCTTCTTTAATCTGGACTAACCAGATTATCTCTGTGATCTTGATAAAAGGAGTATTCTAGATAGCAGCAGGTGCTCTGTGCTTTAAAAGGCAAAAATCTAAAAAAACTAAAAATGTAGTATGAGGTTTAGAATGAATTACTAAATCCTTTAAATCCGCATTATTCACCTCTAATAACCCATGTACCAAAGAGTTGAAGCGTTTAACTGATGAACAGCTTTTCTATCTAATGTAAATATAACAGATCAAATGGAAAAGGCCTGAATGGTTTTCCAGGTCAATCATGATGACGATGACAATAATAAGGGAACAGTGGTAGTAGTAAATAAAAGTGCATGGCTTTTTAAAAAAGACTGGTGGCGTTCTTTAGGAGCAAAGTAATATCCTTCTTACATTTACTTTTATCTGTATGAGGTAGCCCAATTATGTGTGAAATATGCAGAGGGGATTTCAGAAAATAATAAATAGTACTTCCCCACGCAATAACTCCTAAGGACCCCTTCCTAACAAAGCCCCAATTAACTCTCCCAAACCTGCTCCAGAAGTTTGGGAGATCTTCCACAGCAGCTTTCAATCTCACACGAGGAATTATGATTGCACAAGGTCTATTTTTATTTAAAATATTTCTATCTCACTTTTTAATACTGATTCACAAGGTAGCTATCAATATAAACCTAGAATAATTAAGAACAACAGGATAAAAAGAGGAAAACAGAAATGTTTTAACTCTTTATGGTAAAGGGACAAGGTGCCACAAAAAACCAGAAAGGTCCTGCTACCTGTTACCATCTACATTAATTCAGAAAGTGGGACCATTCTCAAGGCCTCTTAAAATGTTCTTAAAAGTTGAGCATGTACGTGTGAGAGAAAAGTTGGGTGCTCTATTTCTATGTAAATTAGGAACCAATCTGATCATTTCTCAAATAGGATTATTTACACTCTACCTACCAAACATAGGCATGTCATTTTCATCTCATGAAAATCTTCTCTAGTTTGCCCAGTTACTCTCAGACTTTGGTTCAACCTATCAGTCTTGGGCATTTCATTTTGTTTGCTACTTTGCTTTTTTGAGGGTGGAACAGGGCCAAGGCAGAGTGAAGCAGAATGGAACACCACTGGAAAGAAGAAGAGAAGAGAAAATTGTCCGTTGCTCAGATTTCTTTGTTCTCACAATTAACACATACTGTCATGGCTGCTTTTCATAAGACCCTATATGACTATATTTCAAAAGCCTTCCTTTTTTAAGAGAAAAAAGGGAAGCATTCAAAATGCACATATATAGTGCAAAGAGATGCAGGACTTTGTTGAAAGAATCAAAGTGTAAATAACATTCTAGTTGTAAATGAAGATTATTTGCACCATCATTCCAGAAAAATGAAGAACTTTCAGTGGGTAACTTGACTTAAACCAATGGTTTAAAATCAGCCTTTGCTTGCCAATTTTGATTTTTACTATTAGTGGTTGCTAACCTTTGGCTCTCTAGATGTTGAACCTTGACTTACATCATCCCTGACTCTTGTTATGCTGGATGAAGCTGATGCAGGTTGGAAACCAACAACATCTAGAGGGCTACAAGTAAGTCATCCTCAATTTAAATTGTTGTTTTAAATCACAATTTAAATAAAGCCACCATCTGCCTGTAGGTCTCCCGCTACCACAAAGTACACCCCAGGTTTCCGTCTTGTGTCCACCCACTCCTGTAGTCTGCTATCCGTGGATTGTCTGGTCCTCCCCACACAGATGGAAGAGAGAGAAGAAAGGAATATACAAACCCAGAGAACTTAACATTGAAGCTGGGAAGGAAGATGAGGCAGTTGTGAAGAGATGCTGGGTGGCAAACACTTGCCAAACAGTATCACTGAGCCTGAAACCCATTTCAATTGTGACCAAACATCATTTGACAAACATCATTTGTCTGGATAAGATATAAAGATTTGTTTGAAAGCAGAACCCCCAGGTGGCTGTCACCAATGGAGGCAAATGAGGTGAAAAAACTGAATATGGGTTCTAATTGGCCTAAATATTTTGAAATGATAGAACAAGATGGTGAAAAAGTAAAATTGCAGAGTTTCGAGAATCTGAAGTTTAAGGTGAGAGATTGGCTACATTATCGACAGATAAATGAAGTATTTAAACAGGACAGAAAGAAAGGCTTCCAAGTGGAGAAGTCAAAACTAGAAACAGAACTGT